TGTCTCCTCTCCTCAATCTTTCATGTTTGCGGTACCCTGTTCACTAGTTCCCGTGGTCACTCCTTTCAGTGTTATTCCTTACATCTTCTACCATTCTATTTGCCTTTTTATTATTGTTGTTGCTGGATACCAAACAAAATTTTTATTCATCTACCCACAGTTGATATCTGGTCTGCGGTTTCAATCCCCAATACTATTAGTTCAACACCTTTCACCAGCCATAAATAACTTAAATCTTATAAAACAAGAAAGAACACAGGGATGAGATTATCAAAATATCTGAGGAACTCAACCCTTTCCAGAGAACAGTTTTATGTCTCTTGTTCCACTGCATGCTCTTAATTATATACATTGAAATAATGTGAGGCCCTCAATACAATTTTAATGTGTAGCATATTTTCTCAATGGATTTGAATAAGAAGTTACGTGGCTCTTGGAAAACATAAAATGGCATAGTTCCACCCCTTCAGAGAGTATGAGTGGGAAAGGATTTGATGTGTGTTTTACACAATACTTCTGATAATAATCTCAGTTTCTAATATATTTGCTAATTTGATCAGGTCATTGATATTCGAAGTCCCTCTGAGTCAATGGGAATCTTTCTCTTGACTCCAATATGCTGTGGATACAGCCTCAGGAGACTGCTGTGCACTTATTGACTAGAGTACTCTAGTAATGGATAACAGAATTCCTACCACCATAGTTGGGGCTCTAGCTTGTATCTTTGACCATTTAGCTACACTTGCTTTGCCTAGCTACAGATATTCAGAGTGCTAGTGAACGGTCTGGAAACTGGCTAGATTGATCAAAACCCAATCTTATATTACATCTTAGTATATCTTAAGCATCTGATAAGAAAATCCAAGTGGGATGATTGATTATTCTGTTATTTTATATATATTTATAAAGAGGGATATCTGTCACAGCTAGAAGAGTAAGCTGCATGATAAAGAGATCATGTTCTTATGCCTACCTCTCTCTTTGTCCATTGATTAAGCATACTGAACCATTTAACCTGCTAGACTCAAGAAATACCATAGTTGAGGAATATTAAAGTGATATCTTGTTAACTTCATCGGGTTGCATTAACAAAGATATTTAGGCACCTGACTGACATTGATTTCAATAGGAGTTAGACACCACCCTTTGTGACTAGTCTTCTGTGCTGTCAATAATCTGCAGTGGGAAAGGTAAGTTAACTAGAGATGGGCATAGGGCAGAGGTAGATTGCATCTAAAGTGAGGTATCATGGATTATAAAGGTCTGTGCTATATGCAGCTTCCATATTGTCGGCAAATGGCACCTTGTAAACACCAAGTGAACAGTGGTAATTTGCCCCCAATTCTACATTAGTAGGGCGGCGACAAGCAACATGTAGTAAAATGACATTTTCTAAAGCTTCCGAATAAGGGATGGTCAAATTCTTCTTCTCTATAGGGATTTAAACATGTGACCATCATAAGATTTTCTATCTTTGTGTGGAACACATTTTGTTATGTGCACTGAAGAATATGCAGATGCGCACCACTAATAGAAACACAAGGAGTCTGCTGTGAGCAGCTGTGGGCACTCTGCCAACCAGCTGGGATGCACCTGAATTTCTGCTGGGCAGACGCCCAAGTGCTCAGCTTATAGGGAACACTGGTGACCATGCTGGAAATTTTGCAGAGGTTTACATGCTTCTGCAAATCCTACCTGCACATACATATTAATTTCTGATATCCATCGCATCAGGTTGAAAAGCGTACTTCAGCCAGGTTCACGAATTCATGAAAGGAATAGAGATGCATGACAAGCACCAGGGGACAGGACCTGTGTATCAGTGAACAAATGAGATCTTAAAAACTCATGGTAAAAATAGGAAAGGAAGACTTAGGGCTTTTCAAAAGGTTGTTTACACAGGAATACAAATGGATAAGGTAACTTGGCTAATATTTTATTCTCAGCCTATGATTCGCAATCAAAACAGATTAGCAGCTCTGCTTTTAGGAAATCAGACTCTTGGCTCCAGAGACTCTGAAATACTTATTCCATCTCCACAAAAAGCTCATGACTAGACTATAACATTTTGCTCTGTGACTGCCCAAAATGTAGTCAAAAATCAGTTGCACCATCAGTTTAAGCTAGCTATAAACGGGTGATTTAGTGGGTTGGTTCAGGAACCTCTGAAGTTAATATTTATTCAGAAGTGGAGTCTGGGGGAGTTTTTGTTATTTAAAATTAACAACATATAAAGCCAAATGTTCTTATTTTTGATCATGATGGTGTTTCTCTCATTCAGAAACTCCTATGGAATGATCACAGAAAAGAAAACACCTTGTGAATCAGTTGCCATTATCTAACAGCAGGCTGATCTACACAAATGTTAAGTCAACCCAGCTATACTGCTCAGGGTATGTAAAATGCACACCCCTGAGTGACATAGTTAAACCAATCCAACCCCAGGAATAGACAGCGAAAGGCTGATGGAAGAATTCTTCTGTCAACCTAGCTATTGCCTCTCGGGGAGGTGGACTAACTCTGACAGAAGAACTGTTCCTGCTGCTGTATTGAATGTCTACAACTCTGAAGCACAGCAATGGCACAGCTTAAATACTTTGCTGAACATAGAGGAAGGGTGTCCAGCAGTTAAGCCATTAGCCTAGATTTGGGACCCTTGGTTGAAATCCCTGCTCCACTACAGATTTCCTGTGTGACCTTGGACAAGTAACTTGCACCCATCTGCTCAAAGGTATTTAGACATCTAAATTCCATCTATTTCAGTGGAACTAGACACATAAATGCCTTTAAGGATTTATCCCTGACTTCTGGAACCTCAGTCCCCCATTCGTAAAATGGAGATGATAGACATGTTGTGAGGATAAATACAATAAAGGTTACTAGGGGGCAGTGCCCTCTGCTCACTATGCTTGCCAAAGACCCCTGTCTTGGGGGGTAAGCAAGCCTGGCTCTCCCCCCCAGCAGCTGAAGGCAGCACCAGCTCTGGCCTCTCGGCCCCCCACAGCTGCTGGGGAGGAGATGTCTAGGGGCTGTGCCAGACCCAGCTGCTGGGGAGGGGAGGGCCAGGGGCCACACCAGACCTGTCTCTTACCCATCCTGGACACAGCCTTGGCCTCTCGCCCCTCCTGACCTTCCCTCCCCAGCCTTTCAGCCCCGCCTATTTTCCCCCCATACCTCTCCCTGGTCACAGCCAGCCCTGGCACCCTTCCCGCTTTCTATCCTCCTCCCTAGGCTCTCGCCCATCCCCATTCCCTCTCCCCCTGGTTGCAGCCAACCCTGGCCTGCCCCCTGGACTCTTGGTCCCACTCGGGTTGCTGGAGGAGGCTGGGGCTGAGCCAGGAGTGGCAGCACTGGGGGCCCCGACACTCTGGGACCCAGTGGGGAACTGCTGACTTTGGCTGCTCGGGCCAGGCATGCTGCGTTCCTGGAGCTCCAGCCTGGAAACCCTCCACCTCCTCTCACGCCAGTGCGCGTGTTTCTCCACAAGCCGCCTTCGGCATGGAGCCTCAGGGTTTTCTCCTCTCCCCGCTCCCCCACAGGAAGCCGGAGCTGGCGTGCTAATCTTGCAGGCGGAATGGGGGGCATTTCCAGGCTGGAGCTGCAGGCATATGGTGACCCCAGCATGCCTGGCCTGAGCAGCCAGAGTCGAGGCCCCCAGCGCAGAGAGGAGCAGCTGCTGCCCCCCCGACCCTCCTTCAGGGGAGCTGGGGGCCCACACGGAGCCCAAGGCAACCCCTAAGGGAAGGGGAAGAGAAGCCTGAGCCATGGCCACCTCTTCCCCTTCTGGGTACTCTGTTGAGGCTGGGGGTTGGGGCAACATTGTCACCCTGCAGGAAAAACTTTAATATGTATAGAGATGGGACACTCAGGTGCTACGGTTGTATGGGCCATACACGTAACTGAAGTTAAATATGTATCTATAACTGTTTTAACTATTTTGTGAATGGAGTAATTATCCCAGAAGAGTCACTTTTATTTTGGAATAGCTTATATGCAGCAGCTATGGAGTTAAATTTCTCCAAGCAGATAAGGCCTGCCTATGCATAACGGGTATACAGAGTTTGCTTTCCTCCACTTCTGCAATTCAACTTCCACCTCTTAACGCACAAAGAACTTTACTGAGGTCACAATTATATCGGTAGGTCCCCCTTCTGTCATCCTCACTCATATGTTGCTGCTTACTCCATAGCATCACTCATTAGGTGTAAAGGCTATCAGAATCTGGAATACTCTGAAACCATGAGCAGATCAGTAGGTAGTGTCCTCTGCTATTTTTTACATTTAAATCAGCTTTTTACATGCTAATGAGCTAACTTCCATGAAATACCATGGAAGTGAATGGGATTACAGGGGTATAACTAAGCCCTGGTCTACACTAAGGAGCTACTTTAAAACAATTCCCCTTATTTCAACATAACAAGCAGAGCGTCCACACTACCAAGCCTGTTATTTCGAAATAATTCCTGCTTTCCACGAGGAATAATTCTTATTTCGAAATAGTGGTAGTGTGGACACTCCACTACTGCTATTTTGAAATAACGACTTCCCAGAGTCATTCAAAGTAATTACTCCCCAGTGCTTCCAGGGGCTCTAAGTTGACATAGCACATCCACATTAAGGGAACATGCCTTGGACTAATTTCCAGGCTTCCCAGTAGTGTAGACACATTATTATGGAAGTTATTTCAAAATAAGTTCTGCCTAAGTGCAGAATTTGCCTCAGTATAGCAGACTGGGGGAGGGGAAGAACTACAAGAGGAAACAGACACAACAAGATTTGGATTTCAATTTGTTGTACACATTTCCAATTCCCATGAGATTTGAACTAGAATGCTTAACCAAACAACATAGAGGCACAAAAAACAAGGGGAGGGAAAATGAACTATCTTGGTGTGAGGTTAGGAAAACATCAGAGGACAGAATATAAAGGAAGCAAAGCAAGATGGGGATCCTGGAGGGGGAAATGAAGATGCAGAGAATAAAATACTGAAGAATGTCAATGATCTCCTGCCAGCTCTGACAGCTGTAAGATGACAGCTGCAGCCTATTTTCAGAGTTCGAGAGATTGTGTGTTATTAGGCTGTTTGATGTGGACTGGAATTGATGGATACATGATAATGAACCAGAAAAGCAGACAGACATCTTTTTGCTCAAAAGTCTCAGAGTAAAGAGAGATGGCTGTTGTATTTATAGCCTGTGGGCAAAAGGGAGTTAAAAAAAAATCTTAGCTGAGGTTTTGGCAGACTGGGAACTAAGTGGATCTGAAAAAGCAACTTTCTAGCGAAAGTAGGTAGAGTTCTCAACCACACTTGACATGGATTGCTGGTGGTTCAGGAATTACCTTTTTAGATCCCTGAGTAATGAGAAACATGAGAGTCCAGCAATAAGGATTCTAGCTCTGATGATATTCAGCAAATCACTACTTCTACACAGCAGTGAAAGTCATGTATTGCAGCCTAGGTCTCTGCCAGCTTTTTACATAGATCCCCACTGGCTTTTGCTGTAGCTCAGCCAGCTCTTGCCAGCAGCAGGGTGCACCTGCTCACTTTCACCTCTGCCTTTACTCCTCTGCATCACTGCTACTCTGCAGTTCACAGCCGTCATGGGCCAGGAGTAAAAAGAAGAAACAGCAAAGAAGATAAAAATGATAAGGCTGTGAAAAGAAGTAGCAAGTAGGGAAGAGAGAGGGAGAAAGTAAGAGACATGAGAAAGCAAAGGCTCTTTTTGTTATCTTTAAACCTGGCTTTCCTACTCCTTTGCTTCTCCTAGGGTTGCCAGATGGTTTCAACAAAAATACCGGACACACTTGACATTACATCACAATCTACATTACATCTTATTTAGAAAATACTGGACATTTATATTTTCTCAATTATATCTTCTCAATTTGTTTCCCGAACAGAAAGCTCAAATGCTGGTCTGTCTGGTTCAAAACTGGACACCTGGCAACCCTAGCTTCTCCCCACTTTGTTTCTGGCAAACACAATCTGGAGTAGATAAGATTCAGCTGTCTAGTCCATTTCAATGCAGAGGTCACAAGAACAAGAGAGAAGGTCAAGCCAGAAGCATTCTCATTGAGGGGAAGAGGAAAGTGGATGGGTAGGTAAGAGGGAAAATGTGAACATCTATTCACCAAACAACCAAAAGGACCACCACCACCAAAACAACACCACTAGCCCCAAAAGTTAAGGGAGCATGTGAAACACTCCCTCTCTCGTCCCAGCCCCATGGTGGATCGGGATAACTTTGTGCGAAAGCTGGCCTGCAGTTGTACATATCAGTAAACCCCTCATTCCTTTCATTGTGACAGATTTCACCATGATCACTGCAATTCTGCTCATCTGGACCGTGCCCTGTGTAGCTAATCACCTTCTCAGTGGCTTTGTTAAAGGAGAAATTCAGAAAGGTTCCCAGCAGCTCATATGCAGCATGCCAGGGCCACAGGGCCCTCCTGGCCCCCCTGGAACACCAGGGTCTCCAGGAACAATTGGGCGGATGGGGTTTCCAGGGAAGGATGGAAAAGATGGAGAAGATGGGGAGAAAGGAGAGCATGGAGAGGAAGGTAAGAGGAAACTGCCTCTTAGAGCTTTGTTAACCCTTCAGATTATCCTGGTAAAGAGTCAAGGTTCAGAAAACACAGGGAAATCCAAAACAGTTGCTCCCAAAAGCCACATCTGAGGCATTGTCCCAGTTCTGGGTTTCATCTGGAAGTTTCTTACTTATCTAGAAGTTCCAGCCCTGCTCCCCACTCAGTCTCACATCTAGCAACTCCCAGAAAGGGAACCCAGGTATGACTTGAATTCAGTACTACCTTTCTGTAGTCAGAAACAGGCTGATTCAGGCAAAGCTAATCAAAATAAAGATGGAAGTAATTATTTTTAAGATAGAGATGATCTGATTCTTCAGATTGAGCAAATTAAATGGAAACTCACCTTAAAAAAGAATGGTGTGTCTACACAGCACCCTTACCTTGAAATAAGCTATGCAATTTGTGCTACACAAATTGCATAGCTTATTTGGCACTGTCTACACAGCACCAAATTTCGAAATAAAACACTATTCTGACAAAACCCTTGACCTTCATGGAAAGAGGGCTACAGAGACACTGGAATAGCATACCCATTATTTTGAAATAACTTTGAAATAACAGGTGCATTTAAAGACATGGAATTGCTATTTCAGGATTCTTGCAGTATCTCAAAATAGCCCCACTATCTAGATGTAGCTAGACTGAATTAAGTGCAGTCTGGTTCCAAACAGGTTGGCTACGTCTAGACTGGCATGATTTTCTGCAAATGCTTTTAATGGAAAAGTTTTCCGTTAAAAGCATTTGCGGAAAAGAGAGTCTAGATTGGCACAGACGCTTTTCCGCAAAAGCACTTTTTGCGGAAAAGCGTTCATGCCAATCTAGACGCACTTTTCTGCAAAAAAGCCCCAATCACCATTTTCGCAATTGGGGCTTTTTTGCACAAAACAAATCTGAGCTGTCTACACCGGCCCTTTTGCACAAAAGCTTTTGCGCAAAAGGACTTTTGCCCGAACAGGAGCAGCATAGTATTTCCACAAGAAGCACTGATTTCTTACATGAGATCATCAGTGTTCTTGTGGAAATTCAAGCGGCCAGTGTAGACAGCTGGCAAGTTTTTCCGCAAAAGCAAATGCCAGTCTAGACACAGCCGTTGTGTTTAAACTACTGATGGAATTTTGTTTCACACCAATTTAATTCTCAGTAACTGAAATCTATGATTCTGTTCTTTCATGCCTGTGGAGGAAGTCCTAGGTGAGATCTCTTATTGCTTACCCTTTCCAATGTGAGTTTACTATGTTACCTCAAAGCTCATTATTACTCTAACACAGCCGACTGGCTGCAGGAGCATTTCCTTTTGTAAAGTCTTCTCTTCATGACACAGCAGCTGCATCTAGACTGGCAAGTTTTTCCACAAAAGCAACCGCTTTTGTGCAAAAACTTTCCAGCTATCTACACTGGCCGCTTGATTTTGCGCAAAAGCACTGACTTTCTCCTGTCCGAAATCAGTGCTTCTTGCGGAAATGCTTTGACGTTTCCGTTTGGGCAAAAGCCCTTTTCCAGAAATGTTTTTGTGCAAGAGGGCCAGCGTAGACAGCTAAAAACTGTTTTGCGCAAAAAAGCCCCAATGGCGAAAATGGCGATCGGGGCTTTCTTGCGCAAAACCGCATCTAGATTGGCACGGACGCTTTTGCACAAAAAGTGCTTTTGCGGAAAAGCGTCCATGCCAATCTAGACGCTCTTTTCCGCAAATGCTTTTAACGGAAAAACTTTTCCGTTAAAAGCGTTTGCGGAAAATCATGCCAGTCTAGACATAGCCAGCATGTTTAGAGGTAGAGAGGAAGGATGAGCCAGCATATTTAAGGGATTAGTGTGGTACTCAGGAAACCTATATTCATTTCTCTGCTCTTCCAAACTTCCTCTATGACCTTGGGCAAGTCCTCTAGATTCTGTCTACTTCCATTCCCATCTGTAAAATGGAGATAGAGCAGCGCCTTACCTCACTAACATGCTGTGAGGATCAATAAATTAAATATCTGAATATTTTGCAGTTATGGTAATGAAGAACAGATTCTTCTCTCTCACTGTTACCTTCCCACTTTCCTGACTTCCTTTTGCTTCTTACACCCATATGTTGAATCCCATCTTAAATTAAGCTCTGTTTACTTACATTATCTGTACTGCAGGACTCTTAGGTTACGTGTAGACAGCAGCGCTATTTCAGGATAGCAGAAATATCCCGAAATAGCTATCCTGAATCTTTAAACGCACCTGTTATTTCCAAACAACAGGTGCAGTATGCTGGCATCCCTCTAAACCCTCATTCCACAAGGGCTAAGGGATTTGTTGGAACTGCACTTTCAAAATAAGCTATTTTAAAGTTGCCTCGAAATAAGCTACGCAATTTGCATAATGCAAATTACATAGCTTATTTCAAGGTAAGGGTGCAGTGTAGACCCACCCTTAAAGTCACAGAAATATACAACTAGACAGGACCTCAAAAAGTCATCAAGTCCAGGCCCCTGCACAGCATCAGGACCATCCCTGATAATGGTTTGTCCAACCTGTTCTCTAGTGACAGGGATTCTGCAGCCTCCCTTGGAAAGGAGCTTAACCACCCTTAGAGTTAGACACATACCCTGAGACATCATCTAGTCCTGTACTGACACAGGACCTAAACCAGCCCCAAGAGGCATTTGGAGATTTACATCCTGTTTTTTTGACCAAAATGTCTATGGCACAGGAACTCTCATCAGAAGCAGCATTAACTGGCAGTTTCTGCAGACAGTTCCTACAACTGAGGATTGAGGCACCAAAAGGGGATCGTAGTGGCCACCCCTTGCTGGCCACTCAGGCAATAGCTTTTTGGTGCTGATGCGCCCCCTTCTGGCTGGTGTCACACCTGCTCTTACCTATTCTGCTCCACCTCTGTGTTAGGACCCACATCCCTCCCAGGCCATGGTGTCTTTCATCTGGGTACTGCCCCACCACAGTGCCCCCACACTCTAGGATTCCCCCCCCCCCAGGAACTCCCAACCCCCTATGCCCACCACAGTGACCCACTGCAAGTCTTCATCTAGCCTCTGCCTCCAGAGCACACTGCAATCTGAAATGGCCACTCATCATTGGCAGGCAGTAGGAGCAAAGTCTTGCTGCCTTTGCCTACCCTGGCTGCCTCTCTACAACCCTAGTAGTCTCAGACCTTGCTTCAGGCTCTGCAGCCTGGGTGTTTGCCTGGCCAGAGCTTCCCCAACCCATCCTGCCTTTGCCCAACCCTGCCCTGAGTCAGGAAGCCTCCAACTTCTCTGACAGCCAGGTCCCTCCTACTCCACAGCAAGAGTGAGTCTGTCTCAACCCCTTCAGGAGCCTTTATTTATATTGCCCTCAGCTGAGCCCCAATTGACTCATACCGGCTTCAGCTGCTGGCTCCACAGCCCCAGTACTCCAGCCACTCCTGGGCTGGGTTTTAACTGCTTAAAGGGCCAGTGTGGGGCAGATGCCCCGTCATGGGGGAAGCAGGGATTCTGCACTATTTCTATCAGTATTGTTCTTGGATTAATGGAAGATGTCACATTCACACCCTTCCACCAGTGTTCATTTAAATTTGTTGCAAAATGCAAGTGAGACGGGTTTCTTTGTTATAATGCACATTATGAATGTTTGTGTTAGAAAAGGTAACGTGATTGACAACCACAGTACTCATCCAGACCAGTGTGTTATTTTATTAGAATCCTCTGTACATGAGGATCCTCTTCCATTTCTTCCCATATGATAATTTAGTGTAATGATAACACCACACTCACGTTGATCACTTTTCACTAAAAATCTCACTGCAGGCAATTTGTCTTCTAGGTCTCCAGGGCAGAACGGGAAACCCAGGTAAACCAGGACCCAAGGGGAAAGCAGGCGCCATTGGCAAAGCAGGTCCACGGGGTCCGAAGGGCATTAAGGGAAATCATGGGAAAAATGGAGCACAAGGAAAGAAAGGACCCAAAGGGAGAAAGGGTGATACTGGGATGCCAGGACCATGCAGCTGTGATGCCAAAAAAGCCAAATCTGCCTTTTCAGTTGCAGTCACAAAAAGCTACCCAAGGGAGAGGCTTCCCATCAAATTTGACAAGATCCTTATGAATGAAGGAGAGCACTACAATGCTTCCAGTGGGAAATTTATATGCAGCATTCCTGGAATTTACTACTTCACTTATGATATCACTTTGGCCAATAAACACTTGGCCATTGGGTTGGTCCACAATGGGCAATACCGAATAAAGACTTTTGATGCCAACACTGGTAACCATGACGTGGCCTCTGGATCAACCATTATTTCACTGAAGCAGGATGATGAAGTGTGGTTGCAGATCTTCTACTCGGAACAAAATGGGCTCTTTTATGATCCCTACTGGACGGACAGTTTATTTACTGGTTTTCTGATATATCCTGACCAGGATTATCTCAATGAGATCTAGGAGGAGACTGTCAAAGAATAGGAAGCAACTATGAGAGTTTATGCAAACAAAGTGTGTATATGTATGTGAGGTAATCAAAGAAGTCTGCCTTCTTGGAGCTGTAAGACTACATCGATTTGTTGGAAGTCTCCCAAATCATTAAAGCAAGTGTATTTTAATGTCATTTAAGTTTTAGCACAAGCTCTTTAGTTGCTGTGCTTTCTTATAACCTTTACCTAGTGATAAAAGGAAGATACTCAACATATAGTTTACTTGGAAGTGGCAAGCAATTATAATTTGGTTGGTTTCAAGTGTTTTCCACCAGGATTGTACAGCTCCTAGCATAATTGTCTCTGAGGTTCTACAATAATACAAATAGTCTTAGGATCAGTGAGACCACTTTAAAGTACCATTAATGGGGGGGTTTATTTACAGTCTTTGGAGCTGTCTTTTGTATTTTCCTTTACCAAGCATATAAACTAGGGTTGTACTACTATTATTTTAACACCAATGCAGAACTTATAATTTTATTTTTTAATTTCAAAAAATGAACCAAAATGTATTTTCTGCAACCTCATATTGGAAGCATTGTTGCTATTAGAGCCCCTAGCTATCCCTCTGTAGAAAGTATCTTCATTAATGCGAGGTCCAAGTTGTAACCAAGGCAGTTATCAGTTAAGAGTCTAACAGCAGTCTCATAAGTGCATTATTAATGGGCAAAGCAGTCTGGCCTAAACAGAACTGGTATAAAGACCTCCTCTTAGCCCCTTCATAGCCAATGGTATAGCTTCCTATAGAATGCTGGCTCCTCTCAACTCTCATGCAATGGGTATTAATGTCACTCAGTACCTTTCAGAATGCCTCCAGTATGCAAAAAAGTCAGATTTTAAGAGAGACTTGAACTGGAATTTTGGATCTGATTCCACCCAAGTTTTTGTAAAGGTGGTACTGAACTTGGAACCTCAGGAGCTTCACTTGAGCTAAAAGCTAGTTGGTTCTCAGCTAAGGCCATAGAGAAAATTCATTCTCTCTCTCTGTAAGTGGTCTAAGTGCCAACAGATGGGAGACTGAACCACATCCCATAGGTGTGTGGGTTACACATATCCAATTCTGAAGTATGGTGACTCACTGATAAAAGATATTGGGGAAATATTACTGATGCTCCACAATCAACCACATTCATCTTTATATTGGTGATAAAAAGAGTTAAAGAGATTTTTTTTTCAACTGGTGATAAGAGAGGCTCTTTAATGCTAGATACACTGTAGCAGAGTCCATAGCAATCCTGATATAAAGCTGTTACAATTTGGCTCTGAGTACAAACTCCCCTTTGTAAAAAGTTCATAACACAGATATCTATCTTGACAGCCACACAAGAGAAACCCTTCACCTGTTTCCCCATTATACTTGGGCCAAATTCTTCTCACATATGTGTTCATGTCTCCCCAGTCATTTCTTTTGTCTCCGTATGAATGTTCATCTATATGAATGTTCATCTAGAATGAAGAATAAAGAAGTTCCACTTTTTTTAAATTTGCGAATATTGAAAGGAAATCCCACCATGTTGGAAAGGCATTTGTTATTTTTACAAGTCACAATATTTACATGACAGTTAAGTACAGTAACTGGGCTGTATCTTGCAAGGTCATTGGATTGTCTTTTTTTCTTTTTTTTTAATAAAGCTGAATTCAAACACTGCTAGAATTATATTGATATTATAATAAAGAATCTCTAGACTGGTGTGCAATTCGAATCATTGAACCATAAAACAGTCACTGATCATAGGCAATAGGATCCCCTGAGAGGAGAGGAACAACAAGAGAAGAAGTAGAAGGAGGGGAACACTGACTCTACAGCATGCTCTCCCTTTTCCTTTGGCTTACATAGACACTCTTCCACCTGGCAGGAGCTTTTCAAAAAATGGAGTGCAAGAGGGTTTAGCTTTTTCTCCTTCCCATCCAACAGACTTTCCATAGGAAAAGCTGTTGGGAATTCATTTGTCTGAAGCAGAACCTATAAGTGTAGACTTCCTTCCTGCACCTGCTGATGTACATTCATCAAGGGAACAGTGTTGATGGCAGCACTGCTATTTTAGGGCATGTGTAGGCAGGGGGATCTTTGGAGATCTATAGGTTGGGGTGGTTGAACCTTTGGCCCATTCTACAGTTGGAAGTAGAGGCAGAAGAGTAAGTAGGAAATACTGCAAGTGGAAATTGTGTTTTCTGTTCTCTATGCAGGAACTCCTATGAGGCAGGAGACTACAGCTTTGAATTTCCCCTGAGATTTATCATTTAAAGGGCTAGTGTATTCATATTTTCAATGGCTGCTCAAATAATTTTCGCTTCTCAAGCACCTTTCATCTGTGATCTTTCAGTGCTTTATAGGTAATAATTATTTACGCCTCAACACTGTGTGAGGCAGGAAGTATTATGCCTAATCTGGAGTAAACTAAAATATGAAGAGAGAAAGTGATTAGATTAAAGTCACACATAATTTAAGAATTAGCTTTAGTCCCCATCCATCATCTCAGAACAACAGTGATTCTGCTGGGACATCACATACGTACCTATCTCTACGTCATTTGGTCAGGAAGAAATAAGAAATTACTTGTAAGGCAATTCATTTTTTTCTAATAAAATTAGAAAAATGAATGCAAATATTTAGGGCAAGCTCTTCAAGTGCTATTGATCTAAAATGATAAACAGATCACTGGTGTTAGTACAGAACATTAGGTTTTGCTTTCAACTTACAGAACAAATTGGAGCTCTCAGGTCCTTATCCAAGGAACGGGAGCACTAGTTCTTTCTTTCAATTAAACACAATTATGTTTCTAAAACCAACTTTATGCTTACCAGTTCAGGTCTGTTGGCCTCAGTATATACCACAGAGAAATTATTTAAGGAGTTTGTCTTTAGGACACAAACTGCAGTTTCTGTATGAACTTAAGTACAGAACATGGAGAATTATAAATGGGAAATGGGAAACCCAGAAACTATGAAAATGAGAAGGCAAAGTGGGAGAAATGATTTATTCATACAAGAGGAAATTCACCCCTAGGTAGGGTCCACTCAAAGCCTTTGAACCACTTAAGTATTTCCGTGGGAGACAGATACATCCACTTCAGTGTTATATTGATCTTGTGTAGTTTCCTCTGAACAGGGTGAATTTTGCCCACAATCGCTCAGACATAATCATACGATCTTACTTCTTGGGGGGGGGGGGAACTTACTTAGAATGGATGTTCACAGGCAATTAAGACACGTATGGAAAACCTGATAGGAAACAGCATTTAATAATACTGTAGCTGTTTCTTCCCCTCTCACTTTCCACCTGTCACTGAGAGTGGGGAAGCAGCTGGCATAGAGGCAAAGGTATCTGCAGCAATGCCAGTCTCCATTATTTCAAAGGCATAAGCCAAGCCCTGAAAAATCATGAGTTTGGCTGAAAAATAATAAATGCTGGGTTCTTTTTGTTTTCTGAGCCTTTAGACTGCACTTACTTTATGTTTTCAATTATTGTCTTCCAGCCAAGAAGGCTTAAAATAGAAAAATTAAATTACATTTTAAAAATAGAAGAGTCTTATTCTGTGTTTGCACAGCACCTACCACAGGAGTGGTCAAGATCCAGCCTGTGGGCTAAATCTGACCCAACAAGCTGTGGGATCTGACACGTGGGCTGTCCCAGTGAGCAGGGCCAGCTGTAGGAAGTGCGGGGACCAATTCAAGCTGTTTTGGCAGCCTCCCACCCCCCAGGATTTTTTGAGGAAAAAAAAAAGAAAAACACACCACCCACACAAGAAACCACAACCACGCACAAATATCACATCAGAAGTAGGTCTGATCAAAATGTATATCAATATAGTTGAACATTTAAATGCCAATTTTTTCAATGAAGTTTAAAGTTTGATTTTTAAAAAGTTACCAGAGAGCGTTGCAGTTTTCTGTTACATTGATTTACTTTTTAAATAGCAAAAATGGAGTAGGCATCTGCACAGCTAAGAAGGATCTGGGAGATGTGGTGGAATGTGACCTCAGCATGAGCCAATAATATGCTGCTGTTGAAAAAAAACCAAATGCAGTTTTAGGTTACATTAACAGACACATAGTATGCATGTCACAGGAGGTGATACAGGTGGTACCTCCCTTAACTAGACATCCAAAACTCCTGTCATCTGAAGAAGTGGGCTGTGCCCACGAAAGGTCATGATACCATCTATGACTATGTCTACATTGGCGTGATCTTGCACAAATGCTCTTTAACACAAGAGTTCTTGCGTTAAAGTAGTTGCACAAGAGAGCGTCTATATTGGCCGGGACTCGTCATAAGAACGATGCGCTTTTGCGCAAGAGAGCGTCTGTATTGGCGGGATGCTCTTGCACAAAAGCAGGAGCCCAGAATCATTTTGGAGAGGGCAAAAGGGCACCAGCCCTTTCCGGGGGTGGGGGCTGGAGCTCCTTTCAGACATGTGCTTAAAGGGGTCTGCTCTGTGGTTTAGGACCTCTTGCAGGGACTGACAGACATAGCAGGTTTGGTGGTTGCCCTCTGCCTTTTGGACACCACCCTTTTGCCACCTAGTGCTTTTTCCTGGTTTTGGTTTCTTGTGCCTTGCTTAGTCTTCCATGGAGCCACGGGTGGCCATGTGCCTGCTCTGGCCCCTGTTGGCCATTTTGGAGTGCCTGCAGCTGGTGCTCCAGTCTGGTGCCCTGGTGTTCCAGGACCAGGAGGCACAGACTGCTTTGGACTCCCCCACCAGGGAGGCCATGGCATCCCTACCCCACTGTGGAGAGGCCACTCTGGAGACTGGACACCAGTATATGGACTGGTGGGACCGGCTTGTCCTTGGGCAATGGGATGACCAGCAATGGCTCCGAAATTTCCACATGCGAAAGCGGACGTTCCTGGAGCTGTGCGCCTGGCTCACCCCTGCGCTCCAGAGAGCAACCACCCAGCTGCATGCACCCATTCCCGTGCGGAGATCGTGGACCTCATCCAGGTTTGGGGGGAGGCCTCCAACGTCCACGACCTCCGCACTAGGCACAGGAAAGTGGCCGTCTAGAGCAGGAG